AAAGTTTCAGCTAATCTGATACTGTGATCTTAACATCTTTGCAAATTAAGAAGACAGTGAGAATGAGGTAAGCTTTTGAAGGCAGTGGATTGGCAAATTGAACCCCCTTCTGATTTTTGTGTTAGGTAGTAGACCCCCAAGTACACTAGCCCAACCTCAGGGTTGAGCTAGACTGCGCGGCGCACGCGCGTACGTGACCTACGCAGCGTACGCTCCATATATTTCATCATAGGAGCGTACGCCGCGCAGTCTGGCCTAATCTTCAGCTGCCCATTGGCTAAGTCATGAAAAATGCTTTGAACTCCATCGCCCCGCCCAACCAAGGGAAATGGTCGGGGTAGGTGGAGTTTTGAAGCGCCTGAACTCGCAGGTGCGGTTGAGGTTATAGTGTACTTGGGAATCCACTACCTAACATCTCCAAAATCAGTGGGGGTTCCATTTTGCCGATCCACTGTCTTTGACTCTTTGGACTACATACCTTTTTATCCTTGTCTAAGCACTCCTCTAACGTAACAGTCGCATGAACTTCAAAGCACAAAGCGGAAAGAACAAGTATTTGCATTCCTTAAAATTTTCAATTTGCGGAACTTTGATGAAATTCTGAAACTATTAATATTGGTGCATTAGACGAACTAAGGAGAAAGGTATTATTGCTGCATTAGACGAACTGAGGAGAAAGGGAAAGAAAATGCAATGATCTTCCCGTTCTGCGGAACTCCTTTTATATGTTCTGCCTTTTGAACAGGATAAAGATCAAGGATACAGACAATTGCTTCATGAAGTCATTATTTGTGTAGCTGATTGCACAGAGTTTTTTATTCTTAATGAGGAACTGATTTGGCTATCTCTCATGATCGAAAACTTATGAAATTTTGGTTTCCATTGGAGTCAGGTCTAAAATTCAAGTAGTGTAATTTGTGAGACAATGCTGAAAACTAACAGCATCTGATGTGCAACTGCAGGCTGACGACTCGAGAGATTTTGGGTAAAAATTGTTTTACTGCAAGTCAGAATTTTGGGCAACGACTGATTGTTCTGCTGATACTGCATGTCCTTTGCTCTTTTAATTATTTTATATTGTCAGCTTTCAAAGTTTCTTGTGATGAATACTCTAAGCAGGTGCCTTATACTTTTGCATGTTGTAACTTCAGCAAACTGAGATCATCGTGCTATTTTTGAGAAGTTTGCATGTAACGGCCGGATTTCAAAACCATCTTGAATAGAACCAGGTACGAGAAGATTCTCTCGCATACAATTTTGAAACAACCGATTTAATGTCTCACAACTGTTTTTCAAGTACCAAAATAATTTCACGTGATTAATGAAACTGCCCGTTTTTGGCGTTGTTCCCATCTTAACATTTCTGAGTTGGCGAATATACACAAGCAGGAAGAACTAATATGCAAAGCTTTCTTTTTTGATGACAGCTCTCCAAATTTTTATTTCCCAACATTGAAGCTCCTAGCAACAGTTCCCAAGGTCATAGATAACAATAATCAGCAAGTATTATACTATCATCATCAATGTTCGCTCGCAACTGTCTGTAAAAGGGCAGGGAGATCTACACATCTTCCATCAGTGGAAAGGGGTAGATTCAACTTTATGGGAGCTGCATGCTGCTACAAAGCATTTTTTGCATATATAGAAAAGAAGTGCTGTCTTCTTTACAACATAATCAAAAGATGCAAGACTGTTTGCTTTACTATTTTACTTTTGAATTCTCTACTGTCCTCGTAATTATGTTGCTGGCACTGTAAAAAAAAGTTTTGGGCCTAGGTGTTGAATAGAAATTAGTTGCTGAGCTTACACTGCGTTGTCGCTAGGAAGTATGATGGTTGAGAAATCGACAATTTCCATGAAAAATTGAACAGCACCTTGCTACCCGATCATCCTGTGAATGTAAGTTTATTTGACTCATATCTAATGATGATACAGAAGTTTCAATTATGGGGATTTTCCATAATTGAAATTCAGCACAGTTGAATACATAGAGGATTGAGCAGCAGTCCAAAGTATTATTTACAAAATGATATTCATGTTTCGCATGAATAGAAGTTTCAACTCTTCGTGTTTTAGCAAGAACAAAGTCCGCTGCCATTGCTTCGAGAAATAGGCCCGAACATCTATGCGTACTTTGGCCCCATTTTTTCGCGAAATCGCAAAAGTAATCAACAAACTTTACATTATCTTTCAGAACTTATTTACTCTATCCATAACGCACCGAGCAAAGACGCTTACAGTGAAAATAAAAAGGAGCACCATTACAGTATCATCTCTCTTGTCTTGCGAATGCTGTGTATTTGAGGTGAAGAAGGATGCGTATGGAACTTGGCATTAAAAAGATTCTTGGCGAATTAAGGTACTTATTATTGTCATAAAAGATTAGCTTAGAAATAAACTCCCCCCCCCCCCTCTTAATTACTTCCCCTTCTGTTGGCTTGATTCCAACTTCCGAGAATAACGTGCCAAAGTATTACAGAATGATGTATAGGCCCGAAGGTCCGATCGTATACATCGCATTCAAATAATTAAGCAAAACTAATATGGGAATAGTCTGTGAACCTCAACAAAGGATGAGAGATTGAGAAAGTGTGTGCTGAGAATCATGCTAGCCGAATTTCCTGAGTGCGGTCACTGGCAGCCTGTCGCGCGCGACGTTTTCCAATGGGCAATCCGCACGTAACGATACGCACCCATCCAAAGCAACAACTAGAGGTAGCAGGGTCTTCGTGCCAGGACCTCCCAACTATCCATTGAAATTCTCGTCCGAGCTGCATTTTTGAAACCGGATAAAGCCCCGAAAAAGCTCTTTTTACCCGTTCTAAAGCTCAATTCGGGGTCTACGGGTCAAAAAGGCCCCCAAAACATGCAAAAGATGGAAATGCAAAATTGCCGGGGCACTGCCTTTAAGAACTTGAGGGTCATTCTTTGAAGGAAGTAAGCTGCTGACCAAACAGCACATATAGGCTGCTGCATGACGAAGGCACAATATCGTCGGTCGCGAACGCGGCTATTAGCACAAAGCGCATGAGGAGTGTGATTAGTGTGATAGTGTGACAGTGTGACATAGGGATTTCATGACCGCGAGAATAGGTGAGTTGGCAGCCAATGCTTGCGCCTGAGCTTTCTCAGTTCTTTTTCTCCTCCTTCTGAATGCCTCTTGCTATAAGACGTGAGCTCATCTGAAGCGATTTCAAGAAGCCAAGACTGTTGAATCAGCTTGAGGCCTTGTGGCATCATTTATGAGCAATGGCCGAAAACTTACTGACTCTCGCGATCACGCAAAGCCTTATATGTATGATGCTGTAGCAGTCGTGGGAAAGACCTTGCAGAGCGGAAACACGAATTCGAGCATACGGTAAAACCAGTAGTACTCCGTGATAAAACTGT